TGGTGATGGTAACACAAACAGACACGTGATAAAACAGTATACAACAATGCACACATCCCACCAATGGCAACTTCCTGGTTTTAATATTGTACTATTGTTACATAAGATGTGACCACTGGGGAAGTCTGGCTGAAGAGTATAAGCGTCCTCTTTACTTTCTTTGCAACTTCCTGTGAGTCTCTTATTATTTCAAAATAAAAAGTTTAAAGAAAAATTGCTTCATACATATCTAATTTCATGCTCTACCTCAAAGAACCCAAAAATAGAAACTGTAGGAAATTCATCTGAGTACAGCTTATGCAAGAAAGAACCCTTAGCCTTACATGAAGACTAGCAAATAAATATGCATATATGTCTTAAAAATAGAAAGCTTTTAAGGTATCATGTACTATTTCTATATTTCCTTTGCTTAATTGACTTTTGGGTTCACTGAAAATCCCAGCAAGCACATCAGACAGGACTTATCCTGTAAACATGAAAATGGTAACGGCAGTGAACATAGCTGACACCTCTCTGCTCTCTGTATTGTATTGCCTCTTCAAGAGAGCTGTGAAGGAAACATGAAGATTCAAGGACTCCACACAACAATCAGCAAAGAGTGCTGAAAAAGTAAAAAGCATTACATATGTGAAACCAGATAGATGCCTATCATGTAATGGGTACTCCACTTGAGGAAGCTGGTTGCAAAGTCCTAGGCCTGACTCGTTTAAACATCTACAATCAAGAAAGTCTAGGATCGGACGGCCGAGTGGCATGTTGGTCAGGAGTTGGCTTGGGACAGCAGGGCCCCGGTTTGGATCCCACATAAGGGCCAGTGATGCTGCGCCCTCTACAGCTAAGATGGTGAACAACAGCTCGACCTGGAGCTGGGCTGCAGTGAGTCGCCGGCGACAGCATAGGCTGCAGTGGGGCTGGCCGGCAGCGGGTGTGAGCTTTCGTGAGCGGCCATGAGCGGCCGTCCAATGACCGGCGAGCGACCGTCTCACCTGGGAAGGATGCAATGATAATACCAACATGGGCCAGTGAAGCGACGTTCTCCACAACTAGACTGAAGAACATAAGGACAGCAAATTGTCTGTTCCTCTTCCCCAATTCCCCAATAAAATTTAAATAAATAAATAAAAGATAGTCTAGGATCATTGCTTGTGTTAATAATACACACACATTAAAAGTTTTCACAGTGTCCAAAAATTTTCCCTTTCCAAAGTCACTAAAACCTTCTAGGGCATTTCAAACAGAAACAGCTGCAGAAAATAGATTTGCTATATCCTATGGCTAAGAAGCGTGTTTCTACCCCACATCTTAGTCATTAAGCAGATATCAATTCTGTTGCCAATACAAAGCCCTACCTAAGAAATGGAGACTTCCCACTCCAGGTGGAGAGAGACATCCCCAGCAAGATAAGGGTGAGACCTGACAGTGAGGTCTGCACCGCAGTGTGTGTCTGTAGAAGGCTCCAAAGAGTGAAGCTGCATCTAAGTAACTCCTTAGGGTAAAACAACGACATTCACTCCTCACATATAATAAGCAATACCGAAGAAATTACATAAAACCAAGGTCAGTAATCACTTTTTTCACAATACTAAATAGCTTCAATATCCATTACACATTTGTCCTCTGGTGCACTATTCGAAACCTAGGCTCTTCACTGATTCCCAAGGAGGAGTTTGGAAGACTTCTGAATAATATTCAAAACGTCTAAGAGGGGCCAAGCACTGTATAGTACACTGAATAAATCAACAGTAAAATGGTAAGAACTCTAAGGCCTAGGTGGTGTTTCTTTTTACATGTCTGCCTGACATCATAGGCACTCAACTCAGGTTCTAGATCAAGATGCTAAGACTCATATTTAGCAGTTATTCAACTATGACTACTAAGAAAAAAACTTCATTAGGTTCTTGACTTCAAAAAGTGTTCCAAAATATATAAACACTAATATAAAAACAATTCTTAAAATCAGTTTGCCTGAATCTCAAGAATTCAGAAATAAAAAATTATTCATCTTTCACATTCCCATCCCACTTAAAAAAAAAGATGACAAAGGAAAATAAACAGCGATTGCTAAAAAAAAAGACAATAACCAATTCTTGACCCAACTCTTTGTGCTTTTCTTTTCTAACATTACACTACTAATAATTAACAATCCCATCATCCACAACACAGTTCTGAACACTTGGCCCTCATATCTGCAAAGACTAACACTTAAAAAATATTAAGAGGGGCAATAATGCTTCATTACAAGTATCTATGATCAATTGTTTACATATATGACTCATATATGATGAACCGTCATGCAGTATGTAAGATTATATTTTAAAAGGTAGAGTACTTGAAAAATACTTAAAATGGTTAACCTCAGGGAAGATAAAAAACACATACACATACTACAAAATGCTTCAGGCACTTGTTTTTGCTAGTAATATGGAGTTATAAAAAGTAGTTTTTGCCAACCATTTGCAAACAAAACTAACCTGGGGTAAAAACAGTCCATGAAAATATTACCGCTATTACTTATTCGCTAATTTCTGGACAAGGTTATAATTAATTATCTCATAAATCATAACATTAGAGAGTCTAAGGCCAACATTTTGTTTCCACGTGTTCTTGATGGGGAAATCTGAGCACTCCTCTAAATAAGACCAGTCACAAAGACAAAACAAACAACTTAACTGAACATAGGACCCCATACAATGAATGTTTCTTCAGAACATAATCATTTACTGCATGTCACTACTCCCCCACATAATTAACTGAACATCTAAAAACAAAAACTATCACAGTCACCAAGATATGGTGACGAATGATACAGGTCTCTTTAAAAAAACAACAGAGAAATTTTTGCATGACAAGATCTCAAATTTCCTGCACTTACAAATAACTGAAATTAAAATGTAGCCACACACAATCTGTAAAAACAGATACAATAAAAGGTACAATTTAAGTTACAGGATATAAACCTGCTTCTCTAATATGGCAAAATCGATTTGCATCCACTTACCTATCCTAAAGAAAGCCTACACCAGGAATTTAAATATGGAGGCCGAAACAAACCAAGAAAAAGGCATGTCAAAACCCCACCTGTATATCTGTTTTCAACCATTTGGAGTCAAGTCGATCCTGGGCAGCCAAACAGAAAGAATCAGAAGGCATCTTTCCTCCAGTTTCCTCCCAGTTGTCAGACCTGCAAGTAAAACAGAAATGTTGAATACCAAAAGCTTTTCAGATTTTTACAAAGACCCTCCCGCAAGGTTTAATGCGGCAAAAAGGGAAGAGAAAGGAGGGAGAGGAGAGTTGGGGGAGGAAAGTGAGAGGAGAGATGAAGAGAGATGGGGGAGGAGAGGGTACCTCTAATACAGGTTAAGAGACACACGCGAGATTCGCCTGGGGCCGTGCTACGTCGGCGAGACCTTGAGAATGGACGGTCACAGGAGACCGAACCACAATGTCATCCCCTCCCCTCAAACCCAAAAGGTAAACAGACAAGAAGCCCACATTTCAACCACAAATGACAGCAGTATGCTTCTGCCACTTTACCCCACACCACTGGGTCGTGTGTGAAACATATCAATCAGAAAATTTTCTACAGGAAAATCCAGAACAATAATCACTTAGAAATGGAAAGACAGCCCGAGACGCGCGCCGCCGACGGTCCGCGCAGGCCCAGGTCCGGCGGCCGCGCCAACGCCCGCCGCGCCGGCTCGGCCTAGCTCGGGGTCCCAGCCCGCGCCGCCACAGCCGCCAGCCGTCCTCGTCACTCCGCGGAGAGGAGGACCTGACGCGCAGAGGCCCGGCCGCCTGGCTCCCGCGGCGTGCGGAGACAGCCTCCAAGCCGCCGCTGGCTCCGCCCGACCCGCGTCGGCGATCCGGCGCCTCTTGCGACCAGAGGGGCGGGCCAATACGGGACCACCGCCTCCTCTTTCCAGCCAATCGCAGCGAGGCTGCTCCGCGGAACCAGCCAATGGGGAAGGGGCGCACCCTCGTTCCTCCTCCCAATACGCGTCTTCCTGCTCATTTTCCTCCTGGGAGTACACCCTTGGGGTCAGAGCCAACCGCAGGCTCCAGGAGGCGGGACTTCCGCCGTACGCACGCACACACGCACACACGTACTCCCGTCCAGAATTCGCAAGGTTTTGGGGTAGGACTCTCCGATACTGGGAAATTCAGGACAGCCCGGCTGGGGTGGACTTGAGGGGCACCCGTAGGGATGATGGCACACCGCGTGAGGCTGGCTCGGGTGGTCAGGAGCCTCCTCCTGTCTGTCCCACTGAGTGCAGCTAATCCTGAGCAAAATACTTGGAGCATCTGCAATAGTAGCAGGGAAATCCGAAAAGGAAATAGCGACTCAGTGCCACTGAACCAATGGCCGTAATAAGAAATTTAAAACAATTGAAGTCATACTAAGTATGTTCTCTGATTATAGTGGAATTAAAGTACAAGTCAACAAAAGGTAACAGGATAACCTCCAAACACTTAGAGAACACACTTCTAGATACTCCATGGGTAAAAGAAAAATCCTCAAGGGAAATAGAACTATTTTATTATTTTTTTAAGATTTTTATTGGGGAATTAGGGGCTAGGAACAGCGCTGGGGAATTGGGGGAAAGGGAACAGACAAGTTGCTGTCCTTTTGTTCTTTAGTCTAGTTGTGGAGGACATTGCTTCACTGGCACAAGTTGGCACCATCATTGCGCTCTTCCTGGGCGAGGCGGATCAGTTCCCGGCTTCTGGATGGCCTCTCTCCTCCGGCTGCTGGCCTCCCGCTGGCTGCTGGCTACACACGGTAGCCCATGGCAACCCACTGCAGCAGGGACTGCAGCCCACGCCTCGCCTGGTACTCACGGCAGCCCAGCTCCAGGTTGAGCTGTTGTTCAGCATCTTAGCTGTAGAGGGGAGTGTCACTAGCCCTCATATGTGGGATCCGAACCGGGGCCCTCTGGCGTCCCAAGCCAGCTCTTAACCAACACGCCACTCTGCCGGCCCAGAACTATTTTAAATTGAATAAAAATTAAAATATAGTAATGTATCAAAATTTGTGGGGTGCAACAAAAGCAGTGGTTAAAGTGAAATTTATAACAGTAGCTACTTAGAAAAGGATCTAATCAAGGATCTAAGCTTCCATTTTTAAGAAATTGGAAAATAAGTAACACATTGTACACAAACCCTTCCAGAAAATTGAAGAGGAATGGACATTTTCATTTGATAAGCCCAGCATTACCCTGATAACAAAACCAGAAAAGGACATTACAAGAAGACCAATATCCCTAATAAACATAGAAGCAAAAAATTCTTAGACAAATTTTTGCAAATAGGTTCCAACAACATATATAAAGGATAATACATCATAACCAAGTGGTCTTTATACCAAGAATTCAAGATTGGTTTACACACTCAAAGCTATTAAGTATAATTAACCATGAGTTAATCTCAATAGATGCAGAAAATGCTTTTGACAAAATCCTACATCTCATAAAAACTTAGCAACTAGGAAGAGAAGGGAACTCTTCAACCTGATAATGGACATATGAAAAAAGGAAAAAAATAGATGCTTATGTTAAAAAAGAAAAAACATCCAAATTTCCACTATCCAGAGATTATCCATTTTAATGATAATACCACAAGAAATCTGTGTATGTATATAATTAATAAATTATACTATAAAAATATTGTAATAACCATGTGTGGTGTCAGGTGGGTGCTGGATTTACCCAGGTGAACACTAAGTTACATAAATGTCTAATCACTACGTTGTACACCTGAAATTAATGTCAACTATAATTTAAAAATATAAATAAATTAGAAAATTAGACGGTGTGATCACAAGCTCCAGTGTGGAAGTAGCTGACTCCCCAGCCCACTCAGTGGTCTCATTTGCGTTTCCGAACCCACTGATTCTGGTTTCAGGCCCCATGTGTAGCTCCCGGTTGGTCTAGAGAGGGACCATGACCCCAGGAGAACTGCGTACTGCCAGCGCTCTTAGGATCCCAAACATTGCATGGGACACTACTCACACCCGACACCCCATCCAGACACCGCAGCTCCCCATCCCCTCCCCCAAGTCCCCACCCAATCTCCAACCGCCTCCCGGGTCAGGCTCGCAAGTCCCCACCCGGGTCCCCGCCCCCAGGCCCGTGGACGCGGCGCGCAGGCGCAGACAGCGTGCGCGGGCGGAATGGGGACTGCAGCGGCGGCAGCTGCGGCCGGGGAGGGGGCGCGCAGCCCGAGCCCCGCCGCCGTGTCGCTCGGCCTGGGCGTGGCTGTGGTGTCGAGCCTGGTGAACGGGTCCACGTTTGTGCTGCAGAAGAAGGGCATTGTGCGCGCCAAGCGGCGAGGTAGGGCGGGCCGCGGGCCGTGGGCCGTGCTCCGGGTCGGCGGTGGAGGGCGCAGGCTGGGAGGCGGGGGAGTGAGAGGGTAGGGGGACTCGGGTCCCAGCCCTGAGCCGCAGGAGAACGGACTCGGTGGGACATCTCGGAGCGGCAGGCTGCGCGACCGGAGGCCCCTCGCCCACCCGGGTGCGCCTGATGCGTCTGCACCACGGCCCCGTCTGCTCCCACCGGCGGCTCCAGAAGTGGCCCGGGAGTCACCCCGTGAGCCCTGGCGACGGTCGCTGTGTCGCCGCCATTGCTTCTCCCTTGCCAGTGGCTGGAGAGGCCTTGTTCGGTTTTGGAGGGTTTCTCCAGCCGACTTCTCTCTCTGGTAGGAGCCCAGGCGTCCCTGTCACCCGCACCCACCGCTGCTAGGGAAACCTCCGTGTTTACCGCATCCCCCAAGTGGTCGGAGCGCGGTGCTGCCCACGAGGAGCCACGGGCCTCCCGCCTCTGCTGCGGCCCTGGCCTGGGGTGCACTTGGGGGAGCAAGACCTGCAGCGACCTCGCGGGTGCCCAAGGCACAACCGTGCGCTAGGCCAGCGGGTGCCAGGTGGCAACGAGCTAGGTCTGTGCTTTCCTGTTGCTTCTGTTCCGGGGTCCTTGGTGGAACCTTCTCTGGTTTAGACTTGAGCCATCTGACTATAAGTAAGTGATCATCAGTGTGAAGAAAACGCAAGGCAGATTAATAAAGCAAAACGTGGGCCCACGGAGCATTCCCTGGAAGGAAACACCACCAAACCCCATTCATTGTCAGGTGGAAAGTGAGAATGGAGCCTAGTTCTTCTTTGCTGGTGTGTCCCTCTGTGCTGAGGCCTGGGACAGTTTGCTGAACGCAAGACATAGCATGAAACTGAAAATGAAGGTTGTTGTGTCCAGAAGGACTGAGAAAGTCATGGCTGTTAGCTGTGTTCGTTCGCATGAAAGCAGTATTAAGAGGGAAGGATAATGTACATGACATAACATTTACCCTTTTAGCCATTTTGAACTGTTCAGTTCAATAGTGTTAAGTACATTCACAGTGTTGTGTAAATGTAATCACTGTTGGTCTTCAGACCTTTCTCATACTCCCATTCAGAAATATCCCCCATTCCCACCCAGTCTCTGGCAACCACTAAGAATGTAAGTGCTCTAGGTGCCTCCCAAAATACACTCCAGAAACAGTTGTCTTTCATGTTTTTTGTCAACACCTGGACAACTTAGGTAATATATGATAGCAACTCCTCTCCCTATCTCTGTGAACTGTTTGCGTGTTCCCTTGTTTAGTGACTAGGACTTTCGGGGGCGGGGGAGGGGGGATTAGCTCTGTGCTAAAGACTCATTATTCTTACTGAGATGTAGATTTTCTTTTGTTTTACTACTTTATTCACCAGTTATGGTGGTTTTGCTGGGGAACTGGTCACACTGGCATTCTGGAGGTGACTTCATGACCTTTCATTTTTAAATATCCAGCACAGTTGTCTCGGGTACAGGGACATTCTCTTACATAGATGTGGTGTGATTGGCACATTCAGGAAATTCCACGTGGATTCTGTACTAATAGCTGAGAACTGTTCTACAGGGCTCACTGGGGGACATTCTTAGGCTCAGCTCTCCTTTCGAACTCACAGGACAATAAGCACCACATCTGCATCAGGCACACTCAGAAGGACATAGGACAGAGCCACAGCTGGTGTCATCCTCCTCTGCTGGAGGCTGGCAGCAGGGGGGACCACAGCAGCCCTGCCTTACCAGCCTCGCCCCCGCCCCCCTGCCCCAAGTGTAAAGTCACAGAGCTCCGGGGCCCAACAGGAGATGTGCCCCTTCCCAGAGGCATGGCACCTGATTAGGGACTCAAGGGGATGAACTCTCCACCAAGTGTCACAGGCCTCCAGTCAGGTGCCATTTGCCCATCAGATGTCATTTTTAGCTAAGTGCTGTCCCCTGGCCACATGGCTGTCAGCTCCCTAGAGCCAGAATGTGAACCAGAAGTCACAGCAGAAAGAGAAAGAGTTGTGTTAGTCTTTCGTCTACAATGGTCCGTATTTAGATGTGGCCCATTGCTCCCATACGTCCTTCACAGCAGCCTCTTTTCACCTAGCACCACATGTCGTGTCTATGCACCATTTCTCCGTAGTTTTCTCATCAGCAGTAGTTGCTAGCTGTTCTTTGTCTTTCGTGGCCTTCCTGTTTTAGAAGAGTGCAGGCCAGCTAATTCATAGGCTGTTTCAAGGTTCCCTTTGGCAGGAACACCACAGATGTGACATGGTGTCCTCAGCGCATCCTCCCAGGAGGCACATGCTGCTGCTTTGTCCCGTCGCTGACAGCGTCACCTCTGACCACCTGGTTAAGGTGCTGTCTATAGAGGACTGTAAAAGATACCTTGTTCTCTTTGTAATAAAGAACCGGCAGAGGTGATTCATGGAGACTATGACAGTCTCCTCAGCAAACTGTCCACTCATTGTACTATCCACTGATGATTCTGCCTAAATTGGCTTTGATTGTGATGTTACCAAATGGTGATATGCTGACTCGACCATTTCTCCCACTCGGTCATTACTCACTGGCCCCATTTTGTCTTTTAAGTACTTACGTATTGTGTGACCCATGACTCTGCTCTCCATGACATAGGCTGGCTTCCTGTGTTAATTACACCAAATTACTCAGAACTGAAATGTCCAACTAGAATTAGGTACTTTAATCAGAAATGAAACAAACCTCTCAGATGAGGAGCATTTTGACATACCTGAAAGACACGTGTCTCAGGTTGGGGGACCCTGTTGCTGCAGGCAGCTGTCACACAGGCAGGAGGAGGGACCTACAGGGATACAAGGAATGGTGTATGTGTCGAAGCCCTGGGTGAGTGTAAGGTACTTGGAAAAGAGCCATATCAAGAAGGTTCCAAATTAGGAAAATTGACTAACCTGTTAAGTTGCAAATCATTCAGTGCTGGTGAAATAATTATATAAATGGGATATAGTAAATACACAAGAGAATTGGTCTTCGAAGAGCAATCTCATTTGAAATCAACATCAAACGTCGTTCCAAAGAATATTTGTGTCTCTGGGTGGCGTGTTGAGTCCCCCTCTGCAAAAAAAAAAATTATAAAGGTTTCATTTGTTGTTTGGGTCCGCTCGTGTTGGCCGCAGAAAGCATCTTTGCCATTTTTCTTGGTTTCTCATGCTGCTATTTACAGACTAAAAGACTCTTTAGAGGGCAAAGAAATAGTACAAATTCATTAGTCTTTTCAATTTTAGTTTGCATGTAAAAATTCCTCTTTTGGGCATGCAGCTTGTCAACCTCTTGCTTCGTCCTTTCCTGACATGTTCATCTTGCTGTTTCTTAGGTACCTCCTATTTAACAGACATCGTGTGGTGGGCAGGCACAATTGCAAGTAAGTATCCCGTGTGGCGGTGAACTCGGTCTTCCCCGTCTCAGATTGGTCACCCTCTGGCAAGACTGGAAGGTGGGTGAGCTTGGCTCTTCTTGGCAGTGAGGACCAGAAGGCCGTGGAGGCAGGGGCAGAGCCTCCTGCTGCCGGTGACTCGTCCTGAATGTAGCCCAGCTCAGATTGTCCTGGGCCCAAAGAAATTAAAACAGCTCCTGCTTACTCATCGGTAGCTGGGCTGTTGGCATCGGGTGAAATTTAGTGTTTTTGCTGAACATAATTGCTTTTACAAAGGCAAGTTTCTTCACTCAGCCTTAAGTACCAGAGCACATGTTGTAATATAAAAGAGGTCATGTGCTGTAATGTCAAAAAAGAAAATTACAGTTCAGAACTTTAAATATATGAAGAAAAATTGTGTTCTAAATTCCAGAACTACCTTGAGGTTTGTTTGTCTCATTGTCTTTTAGGCACGAAATTACCCAGCAGACGTCAATCCCTTTCGTTAAGGAGCTCATGTTTAAGCTCTGTCTTGGTGCAATTCTGTGCAGGCAGTAGTGTTTCCACTTGGTGTGCCAGACTCTGGCGTAGGTCTCAGGCCATCAGAGGGACACAGGAAGCTCTACATGATTCATCTTTAAACAAGGATGTGTTAAGGAGAGAGTGGGAATAGACTGCATGTTGCCCACTGCCAGTCACTGCGTGTTAGCGTGGGAACCTCCACAGAGGGCTGAGACAGGCCAGTAATGCGTAGAGCCCTTAAACATGCAGACGTTGGGTTTCTCACAAGCAATGGGAAAGAAGTCGCCCCTTCTGAGCAGAGCCTCGCCAAATTCAACCCCGCAATCCTTGCTAGAGGAGAGCTCTGTAACTCAGTGACACCCCTCTGATTCTCTTGACAGTGGCTGTCGGCCAGATCGGAAACTTCTTGGCTTACACGGCGGTCCCCACGGTCCTGGTGACTCCCCTGGGTGCCCTTGGAGTGCCGTTTGGGTGAGAGCTGGGATTCTGTGTTTTTGGTTTTGCCTGTTCTTTATCACACTGCTCCCCAGCCCCCGCCCCTGCGCCCTCACAGTGGGGAAGTGTCCTCTGTGATGCGTGCATGGGTGTGACGTGTTCCTCCACCTCAGGCCCCAGCTAGTTGTGTGATCAGTTGTGCTAACCATTTAACCGTTTAAATGGGGGTGGCAAACTTTTTCTGTCAAGGACCAGATGGTAAGCATTTTATGCTGGGGTCCACATGGCCTCTGTTGCAATTTCTCAACTCTGCCAGGTGGTGGAAAGTTGTGGTGGACATGCTGTGATCTGATAAGACGTCATTCACAAAAGCAGGTGGATGGCTGCACTGGGCCTTCGGGCCATAGTTTGTTAAAAGGCATTTAAGTCAAAGAGCTTTCAAATGCCTTTCATTTAATCTCAGCCCAGAAGTCAGCAGGCTCGAGTTACTGCAGCCCAGAAAGAGCCAGAGGAGGAAGCTTTGGAGCGAGGCAGTTGATTTTTTGCTGGTGGAGGCCTCTAGGTAGATAGGCACTCTGTTCCCGTTCCAGTGGCCATGGGATTGGCCGTCCCTCACCACAGAGAAGGCAAGGACTAGCTCTCCAAGAGAAGCAGACTCAGAGGTCTGTCCAGATGTGTTCTTAGAGGACAGTGTGCCCTTTAGAGGACACAAGTGCTGTATTGGCTGTCTCTAGCTTCTGTACTTGATGCTGTAACATCTGCCTACATGCATATGCCGACACACTTTGTTCTGGACAAGCCATTAATGTGCCCCGGCCACCTGGCCTTGGCCTCCTGCCTCCCTCAGTTGCCTTAGGAGTTATGCCCCCCAGGGGGCGGGAGGCATGCTTTTCAAATGCAAACCAACCACTGCAGAACCCACCCCAACCATCTCCTTTATCAGACCTAACCCACTCTCCCCTTTCCCCAGGCCCTAATCTCCCCAGGGTCAGGTACCAGACCACTAGGGACAGCCCCTAGGCCCCAGAGTCCTGACATCATTCACATTAGCCAGTCCTAACTTTCCCCAAGCCTTCCTGCAGAAGCCACAATAAAGGCTCTTGCCCACAGTTCCCCCTCCCCCACCTCACTGCTCTCCCTCATGCTTCTCCACGTGGCCCCGCATGTTGTACAGTGACCTCTCAGCTTGGAAATTAGGAGCAATAAACCATTTTTTCAGTGGCAGTTTTCTGATTTGTTGGCCTCACTGTACCTCAGTTTTTCTATTTATACACTCTAATAGTTTGTATTAATGCACTCTATTTTATAGTACTGTGTAATTTGTACCCTGGTATTTTACAGTGGGATGAGTTGGCCTTGTCAAAATAATAATAATAATAATAATAATGATAAATAGAGCCTCTTTGAAATGGCACTGTCATCCCAGAGAAACTCTCTTGCACGTCTGATGCTGCAAACCTTTAGGATGTTAAAACGGCAAAATAACCTCTGCACTGGTCCCAGGCAACCTTGTGTCCCCAAGAACTCTTTGCAAAGATAACAAGAAAGCAGATTTTATGACTTCCAGACGGATGGCTACTGGACTGAAAATGAGTAACATTGTTTAGAGTTATCCTTGCTCTGTTAGCTTATATGCACCAATAGCAAGGCCTTCCTTCTATGATGTAATTGTCCCCGCTCCCCTTCTCATAAACACCCCTTACCTTTGTCTCCTAATCGGATCACCATTTGGACTTCTGCCTGAATCAGTGCTTCCGGAATAGCTATTCTTCCTGATCTCAAATAAACGCTAGTGCCTCTCACTT